GCCTAGCCCTCCCCAGCAGGCCAGGCTCAGAGGAAGGGGTTAGAGGCACCATGCAAGGGGAATAAGATCTGTGTCTGAGCCCAATCAGTCTGTGTCCATGCCAATCTCCAGGTGTCTGTATGGGTTTGGCTCTTGGGGGAGGAGTACCTCAGCCCAGTTACTTGCTGCATCCTGCTCAAGGGCGCCCTACTCTTCCCCTGCACCTAGGGCACAGGGAACCAAGACTTGTGGCCAATCCCAGCCCACGCCTGAGAAGGGAAGATCCCCCAAGCCTCCCGCCTCCAGTGGCTTCTCCGCTGCCGCTGCTTCCACACTCCACAGGCGTCCTATTCTTGGGTGGCGCCGAAAAGGCTGTGAGGACCCAGGGGTTGGGACAGGGGCAGTTCTGCTCTGTGCAGTTGGGGGAGCATAGAACACCTAGGAGGCTTTCTGGAGGAATTGACTCTTCCCCTGCAGTCGCAGCTTCCTGGAACCATGGCCAGGAAACTGGGCCTGGATGCAGACTTCCTCCTGCCCACAACTGACGTTCTGGGCCCTGCACCCTACGACCCTGGGTGAGGCCTGCTCCCTCCTTTGACATCCTCTGTGACTTGGTCACCACTGCTGGTTAAGGAGAACCACTAGGGCCAGCTAGGGTTGGGGGACTGGCTGGGGGTTGGGAGGGTGAGAGGAGGACTTGGGTGTGTGTGCACTTGAGGCCTGTGTTTCCTAGGGCTGGCCTTGTCATTTTCTATGACTTCCTGCGGGGCCTTGAGGCTTCTTGGATTTGGGTGCAACTATTGACTGGCTTGGCCCGAGATGGACAGGATACAGGAGGGACCACAGCGTTGCCCCCAGCCCTTTGCTTGCCCCCACCTCCAGCTCCTGGGCCCATGGGCAACTGTGCCATCCTTGCCAGCAGGCAGCCTATACCCAGGTCAGTAGGTGGAGATTTATGATGTTGGTGCTTTTTGCTGCAATTGAGGCTTGTCCCTCATTCTGCTACATTTTCTCATGTGTATACAGGGCCACTGGCCCTGAGGGCCAAGTCCTAGGAAGGGAGCAGAGCCACTTCTGGCTCCTGACACCTGTTTTTGGTTGCTCTAGACTACCACCCTCACCATCAGTATCCTTGGTCTGTGAGCTGCAGGCCTGGCAGGGGCTGGCAGGGGCTAAGGCACCACTGCCAAAAGCCCGGGCCTCGCTGGTGCTATTTGACCAGGATCAGAGGGTGCTAAGTGGTCGTTGGCGTCTCCCACTTCAGACCCTTCCTCTGGACCCCAGCCTTAGCCTTGGGCAGCTGATTGGGATTCCCCAGGTGAGTGTGGAGGATGGGGACTGGGTCCTCCACGGTACAGATGCAGTACCATTTCACCTCTTCCCAGGTAGGTCAGGCCGAGCTCTTTCTTCGGCTGGTGAATGCAAGAGATGCAGATGTCCAGACACTGGCAGAGATCAATCCAGCAAGTGCCCACGAGTACCAGCACCCACCTCTGGTGAGGGCCCAACTATAGCTGAGGACCCCACAGGTGTGGCTGATGTGGTTAATAACCAGCATTTGTTGACCACTATGTATGTGCCAACCCACTACTAAATGTTTTCTGTAAATTAACTCATGTGACCCTCACATATCCTATTAGGTATGTACTACTGTGTAAGCAAGTAAGAAAATCAGAGCACAAGGTTAACTTGGTTCACAGTAAGCAGTTGACTCTAAGGTGGTCTGACGCCAGAACCTGTGCTGTTAACCTCTACATAAACCTTTTGCTAAAGATCGACCTTCTCCTTGTTCCACAGGTGCCCAACTCATCTTCACTGGAGGCCAGCTCCCTGGCCCCAACAGCTGGCTTTGTTGACCCCCCTCCTCCTGAAGACCCCCACCAGCGGCAGAGTAGAGCACAGAGAGGAGGGTTTGGGAACTCAGCACAGCTTTGACCCACCCCCACTGGCTTTCTGAGTCCAGCAGAATGAGCATATGAGTAGCTTCACAGGCACAAGACTGGGGCCTAGACTGAGGCCTGTTCTCCCATCTGCAGCTTTACTACTCCGTGTTCTGACAGAGGGTCTGGAAGCAAATACAGATGTGAACACACAACATAAGCTCCCATCACAGCTCTACCATCTTCCACAAGTACTTGGCCTTTCTTATCCTTTTGTAAAAAAGATTGATGTGAGGATTAAACAGATATGTCAGGTATTTACAGTATTGCCTGGCATATAAGAAAATTCTGAAAGGTGACTTGGAGACAGTCTTTCATTCAGCTAAAGGAACTTGATGAACTCATTCCTACCTGTTTTTTTGGCTAAAGCCAGTCTTACCGCCCACTTCTTCATCCAAATCCAAGCTTCTTCAGGACATCACCCAGGAAGCCTTCCAGGTTCTCAAGGTCACCATGAAACGGAGCTCCTGTAGCCGTATACACTTACAGAAAGACAACCCAGTCATGTTCCTCCCAAGTTGGCGGCAGGTGGGATGGTCACAAGTGAAACCTGAATTGTTATATTGGGCGTGGCCCCAGACCCCAGTGTCAGCCAAAGGTCAAAGGCCTGGTAGTCAAGAGCTCCCTCCGGGTTTCCGTGGTGGTGCAGTGGTTGAGAGTCTGCCTGCCAATGCAGGGGACACGGGTTCATGCCCCAGTCTGGGAAGATCCCACATGCCGCGGAGCGGCTAGGCCCGTGAGCCATGGCCGCTGAGCCTGCGCTTCCGGAGCCTGTGCTCCACAACGGGAGAAGCCACGACAGTGAGGCCTGAGTACCGCCAAAAAAACACTGAGCCTGTGCGTCCGGAGCCTGTGCTCCACAATGGGAGAGGCCCAACAAGGGAGGGGCCCAAAAACCCCAAAAAAAAAAAAAAAAAAAAAACTCCCTGCACCTCCAACATTGGATAGTCAAACTGCAGGTTCTAACCTGCTGTGTGTACAGTGCAGCAAAGTAGCCCTATGAATGCTGGAAATACTAAACACCTTAGGTAGTAGAGGGCAGGCACTGTTTGGAATTCAGATCCAAATACTGCCTGGTGTATAGCAATTTCTTAAAGGTCAGGTCAGGCAGCCGAGTCATGGGTCTCACACTAGCCCTGCACCCTGGACATCAGCGAGGGCCCAATAGGATGGCTTTAGTAACAGTGCCCTAAGCACCAGCACCCTTACACTGGGCAGCCAGAATTGCTGACCCATTATCCACCTTTCAACCCCACATCCCACTGAAACGCTCCAGGCAGCCCACGATCCCACTCTAAGATCTTTAAACACAAGTCTAGAGACCAAGAGCTTTTTAGCATCTTTATTTAAGAAGTCAAAACTGTGGACAGGTAACAATTCCAACTGTTGATATTTTCTGTTATAACAAATGTAACTCAACCAGCCAGCTCTCCCCCCAGATTCCTTCTTCCAACCACATCCAGAGTGTCCATCAGTCAGTCAGTCAGTCCCTTAGTCACTTTCAAACCAGAAAGCTCAATTTTCTACAATTAGCACACCAGTTTCCTCAAGGATCACTCCCCGCTCCCCAGCCCCAAGTTTTCTTCAGTTCTTTTTTCCAGGACAGGATTATGGCCCCAGTTGGAGATGAGGTGGATAACACAGGTGCCACCTAAGGCCTGGCTTAGAAGCTGTTATCAGTTCACAGTCAAAGTCCATCAAACAGTATCAGCACCAAAGAGCAAGATCTTCACCAAGTCTTGTTTTTTATAGCCCCTGTCCAGGGAGAACACCATTCAAAGTTCACAAGACAGCTGGGTTCAGAGTGTTTATGATGGAAAAAATATAGCACCATTGGAAGATAAGGGCCTACAGCCACACTTGATTTCATCACCTCCACATCAGACAGACAGGAATCTGGATTAGAACTTCCAACACAGAGATCAGTAAAGAGGAGGGAAAAAAACCCCACAAAAACCTTTGGCCACCATATAAAACCCGGAGTGCTCCAAGGCACACATTTAGCCAATATTTAAGGAAAAAAAAAAAAAAATCATCAAAGCCTCAACCTTTGCTTACAATCTTTATTGAAGTTATACAAAAAGAATCCCCCAAAAGTGAAAAAATACATTATATACAAAAACACCTTCCATTGGGAGGAAGGCTCTGCTCCCTCTCTTAACATGCAGTGCTTTCAACTGTAGCTCCAGCCTCCACTGTCCCCTCCACTGCTGCCCGGCATTCAGCCTGATTCTCAGCCTGGAAGATAAACAAGGAGCCTGGGCATAAATGACCCTACTTTAAGCCATTCTTTCTTCCACAACTGAGCAGGGCTCAGTCAGAGGAAATAAACACAGGTCCCTTAAATTCTGCTTTGCTCTCTACACTAAAAGGGCAATGACCACAAGTTATAAGGCCATTTCCTAAATTCTCTGTAATAGGGCTGACAGAGCCAGTGTTCATATATTAGAAAGAGGACCAAAAAAAAAACACTGAATGGTCTTGCCAATTAAGTGTCTTCTCATACATTCATTAGAGTGGGACCGGTGGTATGTATATAGGTTCCATTTGTCAATGAGACGTCCTATATTTTGTAACCAAACTGTTTCCTGTATGACCTCATTGTTTTTATGAAGGTTGCACTCAAGTAATCCAAACAGGGTCAAGCTGGGGAACATGCAATTAGGAGGACTGGTTTCCCCAGGCCCTGAGAACAAGGGGAAATGAGGCAAGTGTCCAAACCCTGCTTAACTGCCCACCTCCTCCTCCATGTTTTCCGAAACTTCAGTTCCACTGGAGACAGCATCCCCACTGCCTCCATTCACCTCCGGCTCTTGTTTGGCTTTCTTTGCATCATCTTTCCGGGGGCTCTCTTCCTCCGGTTTTCTCTAAAGATATAATTAATGGTGAAGGCTTCACAAGTGTGCTTAATGTTTTCAAAAGGACAACTGTAAAACAATTCCTTAACGCCCCCCTCTTCTCTATGGTGCAAAGATCCCAACACCAGGATTCACGGGGTCTCCCTGGCCACAACCTGTCCTCTGCAGAAATAGATTGGTCTGCCCAAACATACCAATTCAGCCTCTCTAATGGAAGAGTGGGCTGGGGATGAGGAATAGATCTGAACAGTAACCAACCCACAAATTTGAATTCCTACATCTGAGTCAGGAAACAAAGCAAGAGTTCAGGCTCTTCCACAAGAGAAAAAAATTACTGCCACAGGCAGAAGGCAGACTCACACAAGTTTAAGTATCAAGAGATCTGCTGCTGAATGACTACTGTAAACCTGCCAGCTTCCTAAGATGGGCTCATCTGACCAGTCCTCCTCATCACCTTTCCTGAGAGCCCTTGGGCTAAAAACCAGGAAAGTTTTGCTAGAAGACATATTCAATCAAGACCAAACTTCATTCAAATCCTCGCCTATTTTTGCAAAACGAATGTCTTATTGCACCTAGTATGAGGGGTGTTCATAGGAAAGATAGTCCTCATGCATCATTTGGAGGAAAAAAAAATGCAGAGTGAGAAGAAGACAGAAAAGAAATGACCACATATAGATTTACCTTCTTTCTGACAAGGTGAGAAATATCAGTCACACAATTTGATGAGGAAGCACCATCTGTTGACTTTCTACAGGTGATCTGGCAATAAGAAACCTTTGTTAGCAATGTACTCCTAGACAAACACTGAGGTCTAATATTAAGTGACAAAAACCACCTGAATACCCACCATGGAGACTGAAGAGCCTCCTCCACTAGGAGTGAAACCTGAAGTAGAGCTCTCCACCTGTGTGAGACATGACAAACCCAGGTGGGTCCCAGGATAGAGCCCACCAGGTGACCCACCTACAAGCAACTGTTTAAGACCTCAAATACTAGTGGCCACCATATAGTAGCAACATCACTCACCTCCTCTACTCATACCCGTGGTCACACATAGTAAGTAGCTGAGATAGAATTCAAACCCACAGTCTGGCTCCAGAGCATATTGTCTTAAGCATTAATATTTACTATTTGAGAGGAACAGTATATGAGTTCTCACATTCCCTCTGACCTCCAACTCCCTGGAAACCAAGTCATAAGTAAGATTCTTAAGCAAATGGCACGCTAATACCATGATAAAGGGCCTTCAACAATATCGAATATACTATTATCAAAACTTTAAAAGGAAACCAAACGAACCAGAGTTGCTTTCAGAGCCAATTCAGCTACATTCCCACTATGCTGGGACTCCTTTGCATCTTCTATCTTCTCTCTAATTTCAGGTAGCAGCTCCTTCAGCTCCTCAATTTCTTTCTCATATTCAGTAGGTGATCCTTCGGCCTCCTTCATATGCTCATTAAGTACAGCTAGGAAGAACAGGTTGAAGTGATCAGTAATAGGTAACAAAAAAGAAGCATTTTTTTTTAAACTGTCAATACTGGATCCATCAAAATCATTGTGGAAACAGCTGATGCTTACTCACCCATTCTCTTCTCAATGACTTCAATAGATTTGCTGAACTGTGCCACTGCTTCATCATACTGAGAGTTGTACCCATAGGCCAAGCCCAGCTGGTAGTGGGTCTCTGCAAGGAGTCGATCATGGGCTTCCAGGTACTGCTCCTGCAGGTTTAGGCAAGCCTGGAACTCCTCCACAGCTTGGATGTAATTCTCTAACGAAGAGAAAAACAGCAAGCAATACTTCTAAAATTTCAGACCATGCTGCAGGAATGTGCTCCCATCTTATATTTCATTTTTCTTTGTAGCATCTCCAGGACCCTTGACTAAAAACCATCAAAATGACTTTAAAAAACCTACTGAGGTGCTTCCCTAGTGGGGCAGTGGTTAAGAATCCACTTGCCAGTGCAGGGGACACAGGTTTGAGCCCTGGTCCGGGAAGATCCCACATGCCACGGAGCAAATAAGCCCGTGCACCACAACTACTGAGCCCGCACTCTAGAGCTTGTGAGCCACAACTACTGAAGTCTGCGCACCTACAGCCCATCTCTGCAACAAGAGAAGCCACTGCAATGAGCAGCCCGTGCACCGCAACGAAGAGTGGCCCCCGCTCACCCCAACTAGAGAAGGCTGCGCACAGCAAGGAAGACTGAACGCAGCCATAAATTTAAAAAAAAAAACAAAAAAACAACCCTACTGAGAAGGACTTCCTTGGCGGTCCAGTGGTTAGGACTCCGCACTCCCAATGCAGGGGGCAGGGGTTCAATCCCTGGCTGGGGAACTAAGATCCCACATGCTGCACAATACGGCCAAAAAGAAAAAAAGCCTACTGTCCTTTTAAAGCTAACTGCCCACAATTTATGATCAACTGAGCTAGATTTAAGGAATTAGAGGAAGATTAAGGCAGGGGCAAGGGATGTGTTACAGAAGAGAGTAAAATGGAAAATGTATTACCAGATTCAACACTAACTTCTCCAAGTTTAAGATGTGCCTGTGCAGCATAAAGCTGAGCTTCTTTCGTGTCTTGCCTAAAAGGAGGAAAGATGGTCAGAAACCTTATTAATAAGCATCTGTTGAACCCTAACTGCTTTGTCTTCAACCACCAAGCTCCCAACCTAACCCTAGAAGCACCAAGAGTTTTACCTTTTAAAAATGATCTTTGCTAAATCCAGCATATCCCAGGCAAGCTCTAGGTTCCCAATCTCCTCTTCTTCATTTTCTTGAAGAGACTGAAGTATATCCAAATCATTAGTATTAGGCAGAAGTACAGGACAGGCATCATTTGATTATAAATCTAAATGTATAATTTAGTATAGCTTGGGGGTGTGGGATGGGGAGAGACTGATACAGGATTCAAAGTTCATATTTTTCTCCCTAAACCTACAGAATGGACCCCTACAAAGTCTACCCCATATCACCTTATGTCAGTGATAGTTAGCAGTGATATGTTGGGTCATGTCCTAACTGACAGGACCCCCTGGGTTCAAATGGATCTGTCTATTCCCAGCATGAATAAAGGGTCCCCAATCCCTAACCAAGAAACAGCTACCTATAATAATCATGCCTACACTAGTAAACCAAAGTCCCACAATAAGAAAGTAGACAATGATACTGAACAAATAATTCACCTTGTTTTCAAGAAGTGAATCATTTGGTGTTTCTTCAGCCTTGTCATTTTCTTTATCCTCCTCTTCTGAGCCCTCGGTTTCTGCAAGTAAAAATTCTTCAGTATTGAGAATATTAAGGATCTGACAAGTCAAAAATTCCAATGAACATTTGTCAAATAACCTGTATTCTGAGGTAGGACAGGCCAGATACTAAGCCAAATCAGTTAACATCTGAACTGGATATAAATAATAAAGCCAGTGGTTAACAGTCTAATTCAAGTCTAATCCAGACTTAGACTGTATAATCTTATAGTGTCTATGGTTCAGAGTTTCAATGATCAACAGGCTGTGTTTCTCTTCTAAAAGTCAACCTGGACCGTTCAGATCAAAACAGATCAGCTGACTTTTATTCATGGGCTTTAGAAGCTTCCATCAACTCAACCAGAATCAGTTGGAGGCCTCAGCCAGTATTCCTGGGGTCTTTAAGCCAATTGTCAGTTAATACTAATAAGGCCAAAAAAATACCAAAAGTTAAATTACTCCAGTCCATTCAAAGCAAGAATACTCCAGAGACTAGCTTTTCCACAACAGAACTGTGAACGGAAAAGCATAGCCCTTACCAACTCTCACCAATGAGCATGCCACGCACTCCAGCCAGCTCTAGCACGTACAGAATTTGAGTGAGCAGTACCATGTTAAAATTTCCAGCCATATCAACACCATATTTCACCATATTAACAACACTCACAAGTTAACTGCCTGTAAGGACAGGCTGCTGATAAATAGCTCTACACGTCACTTAAGGTTCAAAAATGTTAAATGATTAATAAATGAACCTTTGGGGGTTCACAATTCATGAAATGGGTATAATGTGCCTATCTCTGCCATCTTTCATTAAGCATTTAACACCAGCAGAAAAGCTCAAATATTGTCTCCTAACTAAAAACTAGACCTTAGAGCCATGAATTCAGGTTAAAGGACTTTTATCTAACAATACTGCTTCAGGATGGAATAGGCACAGAAAAGTCCTATAAATTAGGACAAACTAAAGCCCTCTAAGAACCAGTTAAAGTTACAAGCTAATTATAGTTAACCTCTACAGCAAACAAACCCCATTTTATCAAGTGCCTCCCTTTTCTCCTGTTGCCTATGTAATTTGGTGCTTCTGAAATATAAGTAAGTACCCACACCACCATACACCATTATATTTCCATGCCCAAATTTCAAAGTGGTTTGTGTACTTAGTTCCCTGATGTTAGACTAGATGGGTGGTTTTACTGACTCTGACAATGAAGCCCATCCTCCACCAGAATATATGACAGGTGAAGCAGATCTTTGTATTTCTCACAATACTAAAAAAACCCAAACACCTCACCTTCCCAATTTGTAGGAAAATTTGACAAAATGTTGTTATTCTATATTATTCTTATTTATCTGGTATCTGTTCCACTCATACCAAAATGCTAAAAGTTGACATCTAATTTGGCATAAAATAGTTATTTGGAGTTTTACATCAAATTTTTAAATTAAAATTCTTATAATGGTCTGAGAAAAATATTGGTTTCTCTTGAGGAATCTGCACTACCTTCATGGAATGGTGGAGAGGGAGCTAGGTTAATGAGAAAGCCATTACTTTAAAATAACACTTTCCAACCTGGTAATCTGTACCCACATATTACTAGGAATGCAGTGAAGGCCTCAGTAAAGAGATTTGTTAAAATATTTTCTAAGCTTCTTTGAAAATGGAGTCTTTTTTGTGGTATGCCATCCTTCAGAGAAAGGGTAACAATGTTTTATAACATACCATTTCTCTGATCTTGTAGCATCTTCAAAACAGTACGGGCAGAGTTGTGCAAACCAGAAGAATGACTCTCAAAGGCCAAGTAAAGGCAATCTGCTGATTCTCTGGTTATTCTAGCATTCCCAAAGGATAGTCAGGAAGCACTACAAATTGACCTGTACAGTCTATCTGAGCATGGCCAAGCTTTATGCCTACAACATTAAAATTTTGTTCACTTACCAATCATATCTAGTGTGACAATGAGAAAAGAACGGGCTTATTATCTTTTTTTTTTTTTTAAGGGATATAGAGAGCCCAAGAGATGGCAGGAAATGGAGGTTTTAAGAGAAAACCTCTTGTAAGATTTCTGCAGGCTAGTGTTACCACGTAAATTTCTGACAAGAGGTGGGTTAAGAGAAGGGATGAAAGTTGCCTTCCTCAGTGTGAGGTATCTTGGGAAGAACAATACATTCAAATCAGATCTAGGGTCAGATTCCAGTACTGTGATGTACTGTTTGACCCTAAACAAGTCACGTAACCCCTAAGCCTCAGCTTCCTCATCACTATAACTGGAGTAATACTACCTACTTACACAGTACTGTATTTTGGAATCAAAAGTAATGTATGTGAGAGAGCTCTAACAATGTTACTTGTGAGACTCAAATGAATAGTTTTTGAACTGTGGAGAAATGACATCTCTACTGTAGCTTATTATTCAAAGTCCAACTTCAGAGAGCCAGCAGAGCTTTTTACTACTCTAGCTAATTATCATTAAAGATTAAGACATGGGAGGTTTTTTTAAATTGAGGAATTCAGTCCTGTGCTTTTCCCATAGATATCTCCTAAAGCCCAATAAGCAGCCCAATGGTTCTACCATTTAGCCAATTCACTACTGGTTACCATGCCTGTGCTGGCTGGAGTACAGGGACCTGCACATAGGTAAAAGGAAGTTTACCAGAATCAGCTACACATATTGATAATGGGTCTTTGAACATCTAAAACTTAAGAGAACTCGAAGTAGTCTGTCAGTTATATAAGTAATATATATGTGTAATAATGATTAATTGGAATATACCTATGGTTATTAATAACAACATTAGATAAATCTTATGGACAGTAGAATCCTCAAATGATAGTATAACTCAAGTCAGACGTGCCAGTTATGGAGTTGCTAATTAGAGGCTTATACATCTTGATGAAACTGAATCACAATTAGACCAATAATACTATATAAAGCATTCACACTTTATAATGTTCTAAGTAACAAAAAATTCAGTTTAGCAGCCAAAGCAAGCATGAAATGAGGGGGGAAAGCAGCAAGAGGGCTTAACCGTTAGGTTTTCTGTTATCTTTGGAGGGGGCTAATTTAACTAATGTGAATAAGCCTCTAAACACTTACTGAAGACTAAAAGTAAAGATTACCAGAGTTCTTCCACTCTGGCGATAGAACATTCAAGGGTTAACTGCCTTCATTTAAATGGCATGCCTGCTTAAGTGTATCAATTCAGTGGATTCTACTGCTCTAATCCTGATTCCTAAAGCAGAGAAAAAGGAACCAAGTGAACAGTAAATTTAAAAATCAAGAGGCATGCAAGTGAATATCCATTCAGCATTCTCTGCCAGCCTAGCCCACTATTTCCCTATCTACCCCACTTCCCACCCACCTTTATTGGCTAGTATGGTACAAGTTACTGATAGCTAGCCAAGTCTCAGATATCACAGAAAGGCCTATTTCGCAGTTAGTAAAGCGTTAGTTTATAAGCCAGCTAAAGAAGACTTGCTTTAACTTGCTCAACTTATCACCACCTTCTTAAACTATCCCCATTTTCACTTAGCCCTTTCCTAATCCAAAGGCAGACGGAAAATCCTGAATGGAAGGCTGACTTTTACCCATGATTAGTGAGTCAAATCCAGAATGTACTCCACCCACTGCAGCTCTTGCAAGTCCCGGTTACCTTCACCCTCTTTCATCTGTTCTTCTTTGTCTTGTGTTTCTTCATTAGCAGCTATCTTAACTTTGTCTTCAGGGGATTTCTCAGTAGCCCCCTGGGCTACCTTAGTCTCAACCCCATCTCCAGCTGCCTCAGACTCTTCTATAGACAGCTTAGTCTCCTCCTGGCTAGGAACCAACTCTGCCCTGACCTTCTCCTCTAGTCCTGAGCCATCTTCTGTTTCTGTCCGTCCTTCTGCATTAGTCTTCAGTTCATTGGGAGTGTGATCCCCTGCAGCTGACAGTCCATTGACTGCACCATCCTTAGGGAGAACTGGCTCCTCCTGCCCAGGCTTCTCGGAGACTTCTGATCCAGCTTCTGCAGCCGAGGCCTCTGAAGCCTGTGCTGTCACCTCTGGTGACTCGTCAGCAGGAGACAATTCTTGCCCTACCAACTGCTCAAGAACAGCCTTTCCTGGCTCACTTGCAGAGACAGCTACCTGCTCCTTTGGCTCATCCCCACCCACATCCACTGGCTTGACTGCTTCTACCTCCACTGCAGTGCCCTGCTCTTCTAGAGTCACAACAGGTTGCTCTTCTGAAGCTTCTTTTGGTTTCTCCTCTATGCTCGCAATTACTTCTCCCTGACCTCCTTTTTCTCTGAACTCTTCTTGGACGTCAGTTCCAGAAACTGATTCTCCTTCCTCAGCATCTGGTGTTTCCTGTTCTGGCTTCTTAGAAGTGACTTCAGCTTCATTCAGTCCTTCTGGTGCTGCCGTTCCTTTTCCCTCTTTAGTGGTTTCAGTTAACTGATCTGGAGTTGATTCAACTTTTTCCTGTAGTTCCCCTGCAGGCTCACTTACATCCATATCTTCTCTTCTACCCTTCTCCATATCAGTTTCCTGTTCTTTATCTGTTTCAGGCTTTACCAGAGACTTGTCTTCTGTTTTTTTGGCTTCTTTTTCTCTCATGGCGTCATAAACCTGTTCTCTCAACTCTTCCCTTGCTTCCTCTACATGGTTAAAGAACATGAAGCATAAACATGTCTTCGAGTTTAATGATAAAGGCATAAATGGAAACTAAAAATACATTCCCTTTAAACCCTCAAACAGCCTGGCTTATGTTTTAGCAGATGGCCTGCAAATTATCTGCCCCCTTGAGAAAAGCAAAGGGAAACTCCCAGCTAGCAGAGCAACTTACTGCAAAAGAAACCCAAGCTCCTTAAATTAGATATTATTTTACTTGAGCATTCTGATATCAGTTAGGTAAGAGATGCCAAGCTTTACATTCTCTTCTATACACTATATAGACCTCCATCTGATATGTAAAATTCTAGCAGCCAAACTCAAATTAGAAATTAACATTTAATTTTCTTAGACACAAAAAAATGTAAAAGGGCTCCAAAAGCACAGCCATTAAAATAACTGAGCTGTAAAGACTTTTTAAAATTCACATCAGAAAAATATTTAAGGTTATTTTAATACTTAAAACATCAATTTAAATAACCAGATTTATTTGGGAAATTAAGTTATCCCCTTACAAAAGCCTGCTATCAGTTTCAGTAATCAGCCACCTCCCCTGCAGTCTCCACCAGATGCAGGTGTCACCCCAGGAGAGATCATTCAGGATAAGGAGAGCCCTATTTCCATCACTTGTACACAAGAAATAAACGTCGCATCTCTTGAATATCACATGTAATTCCACATACCATCTATGTTATCATTATTTTCCACCAGAGTTTCTTCTTCTGTTTTTTCTCCTTCCTCCTCTTCCACATGCACACCTTCCAGGGCATTTCCCAACACACCATTCTCCATTCTAGCAGAACAAAAGGAGAAAGCACTAAAGGTATGATGGCTAGAACCTAACAGTCTTTGCAAGACAGAAACTGTAGTCCTGTATTATAAAAGCAACAGAAGAGTAAGCAAGTACAGAGAATATAAACACTCATGAAAGAAATGCAATGATCAAAACTCTTAATATAAATTAAAGCTGTAAGAGCACTGAAAGAAATAAACATACCCTTTTTATCCAGCCACCTAAAAAAGCACTGATGACTCTTATCAAAAGGGCCATATTTCCCAAACTTCTCATCCACCTACATTTCTCTAGATGGCCAAAAACATTCTGGCAAGGTTTTCATGACAAATCCTTAGAATGCTCTACAAAATTAGAAAACTTAGCAGAACTGAGATTAAATAGATTACAGAATATTTGCTACTCTGTGTACCCTCAATATATTTTATTCTGATTAATAAATTCTGGTGGAAAATACATAACAACTTTCCAACAGTTAAGACTACTTGTGAGTCTTAAGACATTTTCAAATGCCAGTGTTTTCAAATTGTCCTTCCTTCAGTCCTTCTTATGGATGACTGTTTTGGGCTAGCTGAGAGTGATTTCAAAGGTTCTCTCTCTAAATTGGACTTTGATAAATTACTGACTATTCACTAATGGAAAGACCTCTGCTTCTAATTACTGCAAAAGTCATAACCTAAGTATAACTTTACTCTTTTTATCAAGTGACTTTCAAAACTCCCATCAAGGGAATTCTCTGGTGGTCCAGTGATTAGGACTCCGCGCTTTCACTGCTGGGGGCACGAGTTCAATCCCTGGTTGGGGAACTAATATCCCACAAGCCCATGGCACCCCCCCCCAAAAAAATTCCATCAATATTTCATGCTCCTTCTAAACCCCCCTAGTAAAACCAGTCCCACTTAGCTCATGTGAAATCTCAAAGCTAGTAAACAATCTTAGCAAACAAAGAAGCAAGTTTTTAAATAGACTACTATGATACAAAACATATTACTTAAAGACCTGGCTTGAAAGACATACCTTGCCAACTCCAGAAGCGATTTCCCATAGAAAAAGAAGGCTTCTCCACATTCATTAGCTGTCTCTCCATACTTCTTACCTCTACAAAGAGAATAACAGCTAAGATCTGAATTAACATCTAGTCTAAAAATTTTTTCCCTAGTTCTTTAGCTATAAAATGACATTTCTTCTGTAACACATCCTTCTAGGAAACCAATGCTCCACTCCTCTTGCTTTGAAGTCAAGGTCCAAGGGACTTTAAGAATGAATTAATGTTGCCTGTTCTTCATCTATATAGTATATAATTACAAATTTAGATATATAATGTGCATTATATAATTAGAATATAATATATACTCTAAAAGACATCCATTTGCTACAGTTATACTATATAATCTAAGAGCCAAATTACATTAATAGGCGTTTTTCCTGGCATAAGATAGGGATCAATACGGGCCAGAATATTGTTAGAGTTAGAGGGCCTTTGGACCCAAAGCATGAATAAGGTCCATGGAAAGGCATGATGATAAAGAGTTAAGAGAATGTTCTCTGGAGCCTGACTACCTAGGTTCAAATCCTGCCTCTAACTTTTTTTTTTTTTTTTTTTTTTTTTTTTTTTGGGGTAAATGGGCCTCTCACTGCTGTGGCCTCTCCCGTTGCGGAGCACGGGCTCCGGACACGCAGGCCCAGCGGCCATGGCTCATGGGCCCAGCCGCTCCGCGGCATGTGGGATCTTCCCAGACCGGGGCATGAACTCGTGTCCCCTGCATCGGCAGGCGGACTCTCAACCACTGCGCCACCAGGGAAGCCCCCTGCCTCTAACTTTTAACCTTAGTCAAGTTACTTAATCTCACAGTACCTTAGTTTTCTCATCTGTAAAATGGAAATGTTAAGAACCAGTCAGATACTGCAAGAACTAATTAAGTTAATGTATATAAAATCATTTAAAATAATGCTTAGAAATACAGATAGCACTATATATACAAATTTAAGCTATTAATATCTAGACAGGGAAGAAGAAGAGGAAAAAAAATCACAAGTGTGATAAATGGTAAGGAGGAGGTACTTTAATGTGGAGTAAGGAAACCAGCTTTCATGGGGTAAAGGATTGGCAGAAATCATGCTAAGTCAGGCCAACTAATAGCCTGAGAGATTAGTGAGAGTAAACAGTACAACTAAACAAAAACTATTGTGATGAAGGTCATGTTTAAGGGTAGTCTACTAGATTAGAATAATGCATCTCAAATTTTCCTCCTAAATACCCTTAATGGCAGGACAGTGAGAATACTGAACTTTCCAGGAATAAGGAATAAGCTAAGAAGCGTGTTTCTATGTGCTTAATCTTAAAAACTTAGATTTTAACATTTTCATTTTAAGATAACCACATACTTTTATATAAAAATACCTAAATACTCAGCATCAGATGAAATCTGGGCCCTACCCTTAGCACACCACTGAATACCAGAACCTCAGCTCTTCAGACTCAGGTGATGATGAAGAGACCAGAGGCCAGAGGCCAATAATCTGAAAAGATTATTGCAGACATCCAGGAATAAGATTCTGTTCTAGAAGGAGTAAGGGTTGTGGGGAAAAATGGACAAATATGACCCTGAACCAAAACTAGGACAAGTTAGTTAGTTAGTGACAAACAGAAAACAAATTACCTTAACTCAGGAAAATCAAAGGCTGAAATTGGGCAGTGATTCATAAGTTTTATAGTTATAGGAATAAATTTACACATGAAAAATAATCAAGTCTTCTTAAACTCTTGCTCTTTATTCTTTTTATCCCGTTAAACAACTTTTTTTGATTCAACTTTATTAGGAACACAATATCCCATCATAGCAAAACACAGTACTTACAAAAGACTAGCTGCTTCCTGGAAAGCATTGACAGCTGCTGGAATATCCCCCATCACCAGATGTTTCTGTCCTAAACCCAATAGTTTCTTAGCTTCACTATCCACATCCAGACTGCAAGAGAAAGATTTTTTTCAAACGTCAAATACTTTTAGAACCAACATTTTTGGAATACCTGCTACATTTAAACCATAATACTTGTTTAAAAAAAAAAAAAACCATAATACTTTCTTTAATTTCTTTACCCTCTAAACTACTCTGGCAAGGCTTAGCTAACCCACACTTACCTATCACTAAAAAAGCTCACTACTAAGATATATGAATGGTAAATAAGCACATGAAAAGACGTTCAACAACATCAGTCATTTGAGAAATGCAAATTAAACTCATAATGAGATACTATTATACTCCCACTAGAATGGCGAAAATGTAAAGACTGACCACATCAAGTGTTGGCAAAGATTTAGAGCAACCAGAACTCTCATATTCTGCTGACGGGAATGTAAAATGGGAGAGTCACTTTAGAAAACAGCTGGAGAGTTTCTTAAAGTTAGATATATACCCACCATATGATATCTAGCCATTCCATTCCTAGGTATTAACCCAAGAGAAATGAAAGTATATGCCCATAAAGACACGTACACAAATATTCATAGCAGCTTTATCTACAGTAGCCAAAAACTAGAAACCCAAATGGATAAACTGTGATATATCCACAATATGGAATATCAATAAAACGGAATGAACTGCTGAAACACATAACGTGGATGAATCTTAATTATGCTGAATCAAAGATACCATACCAAAAAAAAAGTACATACAGTATCATTCGATTTAGATAATATTCTACAAAATGCAAACTCATCTACAGCAACAGAAGGTAGATTAGTGGTTGCCTGGAGAGGGAATGAAGTACAAAGGAGCATAAAGAAATTGTGAAATGATAAATATGTCCTTATCTTATGATATTGGTCTACAGGTATATACACATGTAAAAGCTCATCAAATTGCTCACTTCAAAAATGTGCAGTTTAGGGGACTTCCCTGATGGCGCAGTGGTTAAGAATCCACCTGCCAATGTAGCGGACACGGGCTCAAGCCCTGGTCCAGGAAGATTCCACTTGCCACAGAGCAACTAAGCTCGTGTGTCACAAATACTGAGCCTGTGCTCTAGAGCCCATGAGCCACAACTACTGAGCCTACATGCCACAAGTACTGAAGCCTGTGCACCTACAGCCTGTGTCCCACAACAAGAGAAGCCACCGCAATGAGAAGCCCGCACACCACAACGAAGAGCAGCCCCCACTCGCCACAACTAGAAAAAAGCCCATGGACAGACACAACACAACTCCCCCCCACAAAAAAAAAAAACCTTCAAAAAAATAATAATAATAGAAGGAGAAGACTACTTAGAATCTAGGCTAAGACCGAGGAAATAGTAGAAATGGTTAGATTCTCAATATACTTATTTTGGAATTTGCTAATGTACTGGATACATAATTTCTTGAATGAAAAAGTGATAAAACCAATGCTTTCTAGCTGGGCAACTGTAATAACAATGGACACTTACTATGTGCCATATGATAATTACACCTATATTTACATTTAATCTTGGTATCCACTTCATAAGGCTGTAACTTAGCTCCATTTTACAGATGTGAAAACTGAGAATTAGTGGCAGGGACCATCTAGATCTCTAGATCATCTAGACCATCTAGATTGAGATTTATATACAACACTGCCATTTACTGAGACAGTCAACTGAGGAAAATGCAGGTGAGGGGCAGGGTAATCTAGTTTTGGACATGTTAATTGTAAGATGCCTACTGAACCTCCAAGATATTCAAAGGAAGAGATTCAAGAAACATGTAGGGACTAGAGATACAAATGGGGTGTCATGCGCTTAAAGCCACAGGCCTGAGCTAAACTGAGGGAGATTACCTAGGGAGTGACTATTAATAAAGAAGTCATAGGACTGAGCCCTGAGAGCATTTCTACATCAGAGGCAGGGGAAATGGGGAAGAACAAGCCCTTGTCACTCCCCGTACTGAAAAAAGAATAGCTAGTAATGGAAAAAAATATAGTATCCCTGAAGCCAAATGAAGACATGTAAAAAAAGTGATCCACTGGATCAAATGTTACTGACAAGTTTAACTAATCACTAGATTAAGGAATAATATAGATGGCATTAATGACCATTAAGCAAAACCATTGCTTTTTTTTTTTTTTTTGTGGTACAGGGGCCTCTCACTGTTGTGGCCTCTCCTGCTGCGGAGCACAGGCTCCGCACGCGCAGGCTCAGCGGCCATGGTTCACGGGCCCAGCCGCTCCGCGGCATGTGGGATCTTCCCAGACCAGGGCACGAACCCGTGTCCCCTGCATCAGCAGGCGGACTCTCAACCACTGCGCCACCAGGGAAGCCCAAGACCATTTTAGAATGGTGAAAGAAAAACCTGAAGAATGTTCAGGAAATAAAAAAGGGGAAGTAAAGAAACAAAGTAACGACAACTCTTTCATGTTTTCTTGTCCAAGAAACAGAAATGAAGTAATAGGTAGAACGGGATGTGGGGGATCAACGAAGGGTTAAAAACAGGAATACAGGCTTCCCTGGTGGCGCAGTGGTTGAGAGTCTGCCTGCTAATGCAGGGGACACGGGTTCGAACCCTGGTCTAGGAGGATCCCACATGCCGCGGAGCAACTAGGCCTGTGTACCACAACTACTGAACCTGCGCGTCTGGAGCCTGTGCTGTGCAACAAGAGAGGCCGCGATAGTGAGAGGCCCACGCATCACGATGAAGAGGGGCCCCCGCTTGCCACAACTAGAGAAAGCCCACGCACAGAAATGAAGACCCAACACAGCCAAAAATAAATTAATAAACTCCCACTCCCAACATATTCTTTAAAAAAAAAAAAAGGAATACAGTTTGCCCTTCTCATCAACCAAGGATTAAAAATACTGGGGGGGGGCTTCCCTGGTGGCGCAGTGCTTGAGAGTCCGCCTGCCGATGCAGGAGACG